TATATACCTCATTAAATATAGTGGGCTGAGTATTATTCCCATTTCATAGATGAGAACACTGAGGTTCAAAGAGCTTCCATAACTCAGTAAGTCCTGGAGGGGGAACGTATACCCTTGTCTTCTTATTTGATGCCCAAGCTTTCCCCTCTTGAGTCAGCCCAAGAATTTTATCTAAATATTTACTTACAATTCAAATGTTAACCGTTACAAAGTGAGCCAGTAAAGAATGGGGCTTAGAGGACCTTTGAAATCTCTTCCATGGCTTGGTGGGTGAAGGATTCTAGTGTATGTTTGGAAATATTGATGACTGACTGAATTCTTTATTTCTCCCCCAGATATCATGAGCTGAGAAGAGGATGAGTCTGCCCTGTGTGGGATCTGGTTCGTCTCCCAGAGAACAGCGCAGGGGTAACTTTGCCCCTTTGAGCTTATGCCCAGCTCTCCTCTCTCATCACTGCAAGCTTGGTAGATCTTGTCCTTATACCAGGCAGAACGGAGGTCACACTTGGGAAGGAGTGGGGTCGTTCCCATGTACACGGTGGAGGCCAGCAGGGGTTGGCATTGGGTATTTCCCACTCCACCCCCAGGTCAGTTAGGCTAAAGCCCAAGTATGCTATGCTCTGGTGAAATAGTTTTCCTTGGGGGAAGACCTTGTGAAGAACAGAGTTGTGGGTATCTTTAAAAAATTGTTGTTTTTCCTCTCCCCCTGCTGGAAGCAAAAGAATTTTCTCCACCTTTATAGTGAGGCCCTGCTGGGGTTCCTGGAGGTAGATTTCATGAAAGTGTGGGACTCTCCCCTGACGGTGCCTCCTGGATATTCAATTCTGAAGCTAGTCTTCACTGAGCCTCCAGCAACTGGCCAGTGACAGTTTCCAATGTTCCTGCTGGTTCCCGCGGTGGCGGTTTCTGCTCCTGGGCTTCTGGTTCTGGTAAGCTGTGACTCTCTGTGTCCACCCATCTGTCTCTCCAGTTTTCAGGGCAGCAGTCTGCCCTGAAACCCCATGTCTCTAAAGGCTCCAAGAAGAGTTGTTAGTTTTCAGTTTGTTTGGTTTTTTACTTGTGGCAGTGATGACTTCTTGGCTCTTATGTGTCAGATCAGAAAAGGCCTTTGTACACAGAGGAAAGAAGTAAAGAAAAAGTGATTAAGTTGTTCTTTTGTCTTGGCTGGGGTGCAGATAGTGCAGCCTGAGACAAGAACTTGATGCAGGTGGTTAATGTGAGAGGCGATCCCTGGGGGACGGGAACAGCTGGGTAAAGTGAGTCAGGGAGAGGAGAAAAGCCAGTGAACGGCCTGGCTTTGGCCTGCTGGTTTCCTGGCACTGGTCTGCAGTGGGGGCGGAGGCCTGAGGGGCTTAAAGACCCTGCTCTAACACATCTTCACCATAGTCTCAGAACAGAGCCTGTGTAGTTCTGACTGGTTTTAAGTCTACCTGTATCAAAAGAGGAAGTAGTGTCAAGCACTCTGTGTGTGGGTGCTGCTGGACAGCCTGGCATTGGTCACCCTCCTGTCTGGGGCTCACCAAAGGTCTTTCTACCCCACATAACCAAATGTTTGCCTACCGGGGCAAACCCCAGCCTCCCACGTGGACGGTGTGGGGCCTGAAGCCAAATAGGTTTTCCCAGAAATTGTGAAACCAGCTGCTCCTTTGAAAACTGGTGAATTTTTGTTCCCAGTCTCTTGACTTTACCTTGTTCCTCTGGCTTATTTATTTATTTTTTAGTCCTTTTGGCATGACCTTTGCTCTCTGGAGTGGAGTTTCCAGTGGGCCTCGTCCTTGGCCAGAGCAGCAGCGGGCTCTGGGTTTCCTACTGTTCCGCTTCTGAGCTCGCTTTGTACAGGTTGCTGAGATGGGGGCCGGAGGTGAGCCCTGGGGCAGCATTGGCCTCGCCCAGGGAGGTGCACAGAGCGGGGCCAGGGGTCACGTACCAGTAGGGTGATGGGAATAAATGTGTGTCTGGATCATCTCAGAATGTATCTGTATATCTAAGAATGTATGGTGATAGGAGTGGACGTCTCTGCCCAGTATGAATTCTTTTGTGACTCTTGCGCTCTCCGAGTCCTGATATGTAGCTTATTTGTAGCTTTTTTTCGCCCTGTACTACTATCTCTATATACTTTTATTTCGTTTGTATTCCCAACATGTTTAAGAAAGGCTTTGTGGTAACTTAACAAAGAAACGTGCCATGCAGCGACAACAAGAAGTAGCAAACACTTCTATTTGCTTGCCAAGGGCTGATAACCGTTTTTTAAGTCATTCAATCCTCAGAACAGCCCTGGGAGGTAAGGTGGTGGTGTTATTGCCATGTTTGAGATGGAGAAACTGAGGTACAGAGCAGTAAAAGGGCTTCCCCAGGCTGCCAAGGCAGAGAGTGGCGGGACGAGGACCCAACCCGGGCTGCCTGCCTCCGCTCCTTGCTCTGAACTAAAAGGATAAGCTGAGAAGAGTGAGACAGGGAAGGTGAAGGTAGATGATTCTTCACAGATCTGTCTTTCTTGCTAGCCTGAGAATGAGGGCAAGCAGATTATAGGTATTTAATAGACGTCTTATTTGCTCTTTTAAAGTCAGCTGTCTCATTCTGCTTTCTGTTGTAAGTAGTTGGCTGTCTCCGTAATGTGCAGTGTAGGGACAGCGGTGAGGACAACCTGCCCCTTCCATTGTGTTCTCGGACAGTGCGATCTTAACGCCTTCCTTCCCCTCCAGGCTGACCTTTTGCTGAGAAGTCATCCTAAGGGGAGCAGTAGTCCTTCCTAGTATGTGTCCAGGAGCCCCAGCCCAGAGAGCAGAGCCCTTAGACGAGCAGCATAAAGACCCCCCACTTGAATTCCTCCGAATTGTTCCTTTTGCCTATTTTGTTTTTGTTTTGTTTTGTTTTGTTTTCTTTTGTTTTGTTTTTTTTTTTACCACTAGCAACCCATTCCTTATTTAGACAAGCCCAGACTTTCCTGGCATTTCGTGTGGCCCCAGAGAAGTTTGAGTCCTGGCTCTGCCACTTAATAAATTGGTCATCCTCAGGTCTGGCAGGTGAAACTGTGTCTGGCATCTCCAACCCAGCAGCAGGCACTCCGATCCTAGTATGCATTTTTTCCTATTCTGAATCCCCAAGGCAGGGAAATGGACCTAGCTTAGGGGTCACCCAGTCTCATTGTTCCCCAGATCAGCCACCTTAAAAATTTCTGTATCTGTTCGGCATCTACCTATAGAGTTTCTGCCAGTTGAAGAGCTGTTTTAAAGTGTAAGAAAAATTATTGCTATGTTAGGGGGCGCCTGGGTGGCTCAGTGGGTTAGGCCTCTGCCTTCAGCTCAGATCATGGTCTCAGGGTCCTGGGATCGAGCCCCATGTCTCTCCTGAGCAGAAAGCCTGCTTCCCCCTCTCTCTTTGCCTGACTCTCTGCCTACTTGTGATCTCTGTCTGTCAAATAAATAAATAAAATCTTAAAAAAAAATAAAATTATTGCTATGTTAGAGAGACTACATTTCTTTTCCTTCCTTCCTTCTGTTCTCCCTTCCTTCCTTTTTTTTTTCTTTCTTTCTTCCTTTTTTCCTTCCTTCCTAAGTAGGCTCCATGCCCCATGTGAAGCCCTACATGGGGCTTGAATTCATGACCCCGAGATCAACACCTGAGCTGAGATCAAAAGTTGAATGCTTAACCCACTGAGCCACCCAGGTGCCCTGGGACTACACTTCTCATTTCTTGTTTCTCTCATTTAACCAAACCAAGTCCCTCCAGCCCTTTCCAACCCCAAGCTAGAGTAACTACAGAAATAGTGGACGACTGCCATAAAGAGAAAAAGTTGATTCCTAAGGGCTTTCCAGGCTTTTCTCACATTCTGCGGATTCAGTTCCAAATTCCTATAATTATCTAGGTACACAAGAGTTTCTTTCATTGTCTGTGTAGACATAGGTGCCCTCGATGTGTAAAGTTATAAAAACAGAACGTTTGTATAAAACAGAGCATCCTGGCAGGGAGGGAAGAAGGGGAGCAGGTGAAAGTCTAGAACATCTGAGAAGACTTAGGCTGATCCTGTCTGGGACACAGTAACCCTAGTGGAGCTTCCAAGGACATAACATCTTGATTGTCTTTGCTCCCCCATTTGAGTCTGAACCCCAGAGGGACAGAACTCACCTTCTAGAATCTCAGACTCTAAGTTAGAAGTGACTTACAGGTCATCTAACTCCAGTCCCTCTCCTCCTGAGTGGGAATTCTTTTTAGCCTGTCCCCAAAAGATGGCTCCCACGTGCTTGTGTCCCACCCTGCAAGATAATTTACATGGCAAATGGCAGAGTTAAATAATCCTTTCATTTAGCTTGGTGTTCCGCCCCAGGACCCAAGAGATCTCACTGGACCAAACCCCCTGGTTAGGTTTCAAGATGCTTCCTCCCACCCTGGCTCCAGAGTGCCTGCCTAGAACCTGACATAATCATCCTTAGCATCTTCTCAGGGATGGAAGTAAGTAGAGACAGCACAGGTTTTGGAGACTTGCAGGCCTGGGTTCAAGTCTCTTGCCCGCCTACACTGCTCAATGGCTGTGTGGCTTTGGGCAAAGTAACCCACCTCTCTGTGCTATCCCCTGCAGAAGACCAGGAATAATCTCCCTAGGGGATGTGGTGACCGGCCAGTGGGTGCAGGATACCAGCATGGGACACAGGTCCCCCCAGCTACCTTCCCATGTCTCCATGAGAGCGTGAGCATCAGTGTGAGTGAGAAATGGCTTCTTGTGGCATTCATCCCACCACCGAGCACAGTGTTTTGCCTGGTGTAAAAATAAGAGAAAAATAAAATATCCAAGGCACTTACCGGTGCCTCCAGAATCTAGAACAGAGCTCTGTACTCTGGAATATCTCTGAGAGGCCTGCTCACAAACTGGTAAAACTCTGCTGCCCTCTGTCTTTGAAACGAAGACCTGTTTTGTGCACTCAAACAGCCTGAAATGAAAGTTAAGAAGACAGCTGATGCATTCCACACCGAGAAAACGAAACTGATGTGTTTTTTTTTTTTTTTTTTCCCCTCCCCTCTTCTGGGCTGCTGAGTAAGACCGAAGGACTCACTAGACATGGCTTCCCAGACTCAGGGGAAGAAAGCAGTTTTAGATATTCGGACCTGGGAGCAGGCATTTCAAGAGCTGATGCAGCAGGAGAAACCCCGGGCCACATGGACCCTGACACTGGACGAGAAACTGGAGCCAGAGTACCTCCCCGAGGGCTGGAAGCAGTACCAGCAGAAAGGATTTGGCAGGTGAGTGAGAGCTGACCTCTCAGCAGACCTTCTCTGGCAAAGGAGGTCAGCTTAGCCACGACTGACTGATTCCTTTGAGAGAGCTTGTTAAAGGAACCAGTGTCCCCAGGGTCTCTATTCTTTTGTGGTCACAGTGCTCTTTTCATTTTGCTTAGCCATACCAAAGTTTCTTTTTTTGCTAGGTTTCCTCCCAAATTATTCCTGGAAATTCTCAAGGAATGCTTCCGTATTCCATACAGCTGCCCTCCCGTTCTCTCACCACCTCCTGTTCCAGACTGGTCTACCTAGAGACTTCTGCTATTTCTACTCTCAGTCCTGACTTTCCTAGGCTGCAGCAGCCCTATTGGGCCAAGCACCAGCCCGGGACCAGGGCCTTCCTTTAAAGCCCCAAGAATGGAGGAAGGCCACACGATCACTTTGAATGTGGCTTTGCTGAAGGCCTGGGGATGATAGAGGGAATGGTGCAGCAAGAAAGATATCTAAAACCCAGTTCCTGGAGTCTGTAAGTAATGCTCCTCCCCTAGGGGCCATCTCCCCCTTTCACCCCCAGAGAACCTGCACACTGCAGAGAGCAGTGTCGAGTGGGGTGCGGGGGTGGCAGTGAGAAATGTTGACCTAGGCAACCAGATCTCCTTTTATGTGGCACACGGGGACCATTGCTGTTCTTTCCACCTCACCTGTTGTCCTTCTTCCCTCTCTGTCCTACCCTGACTCCATCTGTCCTTTGCTCCATCCTTACGGATGATGAACCAAGCCCACACCTTTTCAGACTTCTGTTCCCTTACCATGATATTCTGTGTGTCTGGCAGGCCCTTTGACCCCTCCCTTGCACTCATCCTTCAAGGACCAACTCAAGTGCCCCCTCCTCCTTAAAGCATTCCCTGGTCTTCCTAGGCAGCATAAGTGTCCCTTCTTCTAGATTCCCATAAGATAATGGTTTTACATATATATATTTAAAAACAAGCTATGTATCCCTTTATGACTCAGTTTCCTTATCTGGACACTGGGCTTAATGATGCCTCCCTCAGAGGGGAGCTTTAAAGATGAAGTGGGCTAACAATGTAGCCCCTCTTACAGTGCCTGCCTTAAAGGGTTTACTGTACACGTTTTCTGCGATCATGTGGAGGACCAGGTTTTGCTGGCAGGTGGCAGAACTACTTTTCCCTCTGAGCCATCCAGAGATGTTTTATTAGCAAAGAGGCAAACTTGGGACCACATAGGTGGAAGCTCAATGGATCACAGGAAAAGGCTTTATGAAAAAACACAATCCCTCTCATTCTTATTTGGCAAATTTTTAATATCATATGCACCTTCTCAAATTGGGAGAGATCACAGAGACAGAGACCAGGCCTGCTTCCTTCAGGTCAATGATCACCTGAAGGCACAACAGCCTTCTTCCTTCTGTCTGTAGGTTCCAGTGTTCCTCATGCCGGCGAAATTGGGCTTCCGCTCAAGTGCACATCCTCTGTCACATGCACCTGGAGCCCCGGAAATCCCAGGGCCAGGTGATTATGCGGCTCTTTGCTCAGCGGTGCCAGAAGTGTTCCTGGTCTCGATTTGAGAATCCTGAATTCTCCCCAGAGAGTGCCATGCGGATTCTGAAAAATGTGGTGCGGCGTATTCTGGAGAAATTCTACGGGAATGGCTTTAGGAAGTTTCCGGAGCTCCCCATCATCCGGGAGGTGCCTTTAGATGGGTCCCATGACACAAAAAATTGTGAAGCATGCACTCTGGGCTGCTGTTCGTGGAGGTCACAAAACAACATGACAGAACCACCAATATCCCCATCCTCCTATTTGGATATTATGAGTTCCTCGTGTCACATGGGTGATGTGGACAGCAAAAACCAGGAGTGTGGGTCTATCCAGGTCTTTAAGGACCCAGAGCCCAGCCATACCAATGCAGAGACTCAAGTACCAGGGGCTGGCATTCAGCCCACATGGGAGACTAGTAAACAGCCCACTCCAATGACAGACAGGGAGGCCCCAGAGGGAAATTCACAATCCACACAGGAGACAGCACCACAGACCCCCTGGAGGACATACTCTGAGGTTTTAAGGTTGGCCCGCCAACAGTCTACACAGCAGTCACGCTCACAAGCCACATGGACCATGTCAACGATGATACGGTCATACACTCAGACTAGAGGAAGAACAGCCCCCTCTGCACTAGGGTCACACCTCCATCTCACACCCAGGACAGCTAGGGGGTTTGTGATCGTCAGTAGAACTCAAGCTACCTGGAGACGTTCACACAGATATGCTGTTCCAAACACCGGTCGCATGTACCTTCATTCCATGCAACGAGATACATTCTCTGAACTGGATGTATTTTTCTACCTCTGGATCTGTATTGTTTTGTTCTTTGTCTTTGTAGGCAAAAACTCAGAAGCTGAAGGAGGGAAATAAATTTGTCTTCTTTTCTTCTGTCTTAATTCCATGGTAATCAGTGAACTGGTTGCTATTTTAATATGACACAGAATATACTATGAGATCTAGCAGGGTCAAGTTTGTAAGAATAAACAATAATTTCCTAGATCTCCTTAGCAGATAGTCTAAAACAACCTAGCAGATAATGGACGAATAAAAAATATTTGTTGAATCACTAAAAGCTCTTCACTCATTCATCCAGTCATTCATTTCTCTCTCTGTCTCTATCTTGACATATCTTCACAAGAACTGAGGGTCATTAGTGTCATTAGTGTTAACAGAGAGTTATTGTGGTAGGCAGAATAAAAGCCCTCCAAAGATATGCATTCCCCACTTCCCAGAACCTGTGCATATGTTACTTTACATGCAAAAAGGATTTTGCCCATGTGATTAATTTAAGGGTTTTGAGATAAGGAGCTTATCCTGCATTATCTGGATGGACACAATGTAATCACAATGGTCCTCATCGGAGGGAAGCAAGAGGGTCAAAGTGGGAAAAAGGAAATTTAATGATGACAGCAGAGCTTGGAATGATGGCCTCCAAGGACGGAGGAAGTGGCCATGAGCCAAGGAATGCAGACACCTCTAAAAGCTCTTAAAGACAAAGAAACAGATTTTCTTCCAGAGGCTCCAAGAGGACCCAGTCCTGCTGACACATGACCTCAGCCCAGTGAGACTGATTTTAGACTTTGGACCTCCAGAACTGTAAGATAATAAATTTGTGTTGTTTTAAGGCCCTAAATTTGTGGTGACTTATTACAGCTAAAATAGGAAAGTAATACAGTTATCAATATCATCCCAAGGACTGGGCAATTAAATTTTAACCAAAAAAGAGAAATTAGAAATACTGATATGCAGATCCCCTCTTAGTTGTCTTTCTCCCCTACTTAAATCTACCCAAATGCCCCCATACAAGAGACTCCCTTTGATTTGGTGACTCCTGGAGCTATCCTATTCTTTCACTTCTTCCAGCACTGGAGGAGGAAGCCTGCAAGAGCTTGCCAATCCTGAAGTCGTATGATGCATGGCTGCATAGTTCACTCCCTATCTTCATGTCTGCCAGGCATTTCTATGTACCTCTCAAACCGCAGTCGCCATGTTTAAAGCCAGGTTCATAAGCATGTCTCACTTCCTGGGCCTAATTTGACTCAGTCACCCAAGCTGATCACCTTAGAGCCATCTTCTAATTTCTTCTCCCTGTCATCTACACTTCCTGTCCCTTTTGTTGTCAAGTTATCCCTTTCTTCCTATCAGCATCTCTCCCCAACCAGTCCAAGAGCTTAAATTACTGAAATAACTAGAAAATTTGCCTTCACCCCATAGGCAATGAGGGGTCATTACTAGCATTTGAGGATATGGGCAATTTGAGTGGAATCACATTTTTAAAATATTATATATTTCTAGGAAAGAATGGAGTAGAGAATAGGAATAGGAGTCTGACTTGGGAAAGCAGAGTGGTAAATAGAGAGTGGTATCTACAGACAATAAAGGTCTTGAAGGAATTGAAAACAGTGAAATGTCAGCAGGAAACCCAAGGATAAAACTATCTCTTTTTCTCTGACGCTATCTTCTTTTTTCCTCTTAGGCCATTCCCACAAGCATGCTCCTTTTATCACTACCTCTTCCCCAAACCACCCCCTGGACTTTCTGTGTTCCTCCTGTTTTCATACATTTTTGGTTCCTTCACAAAGAAAATTGGCCTGGGGACTAGACACTTTATGTCTAGCCTTGTTATGCTGTGGGATGTGGGACATTCCCTGGGCCTCAGTTTCTCCATCTCTAAAATAGGTTAATGCCTTCCAATTAAACATAATGGATTGAACACATGCATTTCCCTGTGAGCTTCCCTGAAACCTTACTGAGTGAGAGCGAAAGGAGAAAAAAAGGCATCAGTATACAAGGGTAAAGAGAATGGGCAGAAGCCAGAAAACTGATCAGCTAGTGGCAGATCACTGACTTAGCAGGGCAGAGAGATCTGGAACAGAAATTAGGCAAGGGAAAACTGAGGTACAAAGCAATTCATATGGCACAGTTTCAGTAAGTTCAAAAACTGTAGGCAACAGTGGCTCTGAAGGTGGGTGCTGAGGCTGCTGAAGTAAGAGGACTGGCTGAAAGCCTTTACAGCAAGTGTCTTTCCTCCATCCCTCTATAGCGGGTGACCATTCTTAACTGGCTCCAGGGAGAAGAATGGAAGTTTAGTCTCTGAAGATTTAGAGGGACTCTGGACTCAGGGACTTGGGCAATGTGAAGGGAGAGAGTGCCACCCAGCAATCAGAAAGATAGCTCAGGTCTACACACTGACTCTTTGGGACTCCCTTACCCCACCACGAAACCTGGGAGCCATGCCAACCTTCAATCTTACCCATCCAATCCTCAAATACACAAGAGAGTGGATGGGTCCTCTTTGGGGACACTTATGAGCTCAAGAGAAAAAACAATATATATATATATATATATATATATACTTAAAAGGGTAGTGGTGGTGGAGGGGGGTGTTTCATCCAATGGAATGACTAGCTGAAGTAGCTCCAGAGTGAATCCACCAGATACAACATCCCTGCAGAACTTCTAGTCAACTCTTTGGTGTCAGACACTTAATTTGGACAGACTGCCAAGGGGTATCAAATATTTGATATCTTTCCAAATGTGAAGGCAAAAAAAAAAAAAAAAAAAGATAAAAAAAAAGTAAGGAGTCAAGAAAACAGAGATAATTCAAGGATAAGAACACAAACCAGAACATATTTCAGCAGTAAAGCTATCACTTATGCCTCAGAAAGACAAGAGAAGGTATAATATTCATGAAACAAATTAGACCTATTCTCTGCAGTAAACTTAGGTGAGGCAGCTATCTTTGGCTGGAGGTGAGTCCTTGGGGGGAGTTCAACCACAGGTCTTTAGCAGGCAATGTTCCTGAAAACTGAGGGAATAAGTGCACTGGTCCCAAGGGCAGGGATCTGGGTGGGGGACCACAGTTTCCATTACAGTCAATATTTTGGACCACTTCAATCCACTTGCTTGGTATAAAATGTCTGGCAGGCAAACTGAGCCCCCTCACTGCATCTGTCTTGGGATGGCAACTAGATAATTCACTATCTCCCTTTACTATCCACTCTCCATTCCCCTTCCCCGGCACCCCTGCTTACCTTATGGGGTTATCCAGACCTTCATCCTGGAGGGGTGTGGGCCCTTGGTCAAAAGGTCTTTCTCAGTCTGTGGCATCTGCATCTGTCCACCCACTTTCAAAACTGGACAGAAAAGTACCAAGAGAGCCCCCAGTGGATCACTTTGGTGCCAAATGTATTCTTCCTGCCCCCACTGAGTGACAGGAGTCCTATATCCCTCCGACGATCAGGAGAGATGATAAACAGGGTCACCTGTACTTCCACCTCTTGATTTCCATACCCATACACTACCTACTAGGACCACACCCACGGTTGTCATTGATTCAGGATATATACTCCACCCTGGTGGGATTGACCCATCTTTGCAAGGCAGCATCTCCAAGAGGTACCCCAGCTGCCTCTTTAAGAGGTTATATCATTGATCTGTTGTCTGGCAGCTTCCAGGTGGAGCTATATTTGATGAAACCAGGGAATTCCATGCCTTTATCACCTCTGCTGTCGCTCTTTTTCTACGACTTTGGTCATTGATCTAACGTGATATTAGGTGATGTGTTAGTTCGCTAGGGCTGTGAGAAAGAATCTGATTCAGCCTCTCGCCTAGCATCTAGTGGTTTTCTGGCCATGTTTGCAGACTTCCTTGGCTTGTAGAGATGTCACCTTGATCTCTCCCTTCACTTTCACATGGTGTTCTCCACATGTGCATTTCTATATCCAAATTTCCCCTTTATTTTATAAGGACTCCAGTATGACCCCATCTTAATTAATTACTGTCTATTTTCAGCTTTTACTACATAATTGAACTAAACCACCAGTGAAGGAAGAGTGGCCTTTCCTTTCCTCTGTTGACTGGTCCTAAGTAACAGCCTCTCCTTGAACAGATGATCTGCTGTGACCTGAGGGAGAGGCACTAGTGCACCAGTGGAGGCTGACCTGGGGGCTGGGCCACCACTTCACCCAGCTCCCTTGTATTCTCTATGCCTGACGTGTGCTCAGTCCCAGGCTTCCATATTCTGATGGATTATACTGAGCCTGCATTTGACTAAATGGGCCTTTCAGAGTCTAGGTCATGATGGGCATCTCTGGCTCCATCATATTTTAATATCTCACCATCAGGAGTTCTACCTCTATGCAGCCAAGTAGCTTATAGGAGTTGGTTTTTGAATGGCATGTAATTCTCTGGTGCAGATGGCATGGCCTTGCTTCAGAACACAAGTGTTATAAATTATATTTCTCCTGCTGGAGATTGATGTAAACACCGCCTGGCATGACAGCTAACTGAAGTACCAAAGGGTCTGCTGGATCGTATGGGCCATGTGGCAGGGCATTGTATTGTGGGCCTGCTGCAGAGCCATTTCCTATTCTGGGTCCCTCTCAAGTTGGCAGCTTTCTCTATCACTTGGTAAATGAATCATAGAAGTATGGACTACTGGGTATTGTGCTTCCTTTTAGTGGTGTGAGGGTCAAGATGCCATAACTTGCCCTTCACTTTGGAAGTGTTGTTGTGGCATGCTCCAAATTACTCTACCCCTAACACATGTGTGGACTTGGCAGAGAATCTTTGTAGGATTCTGTGAGACTTCCACCTCTGGAGGGTGAGGTCTCCAATGCACTTGGCTGCTTCTTACTCCTCTGGTTTGATTAAAATGATATCATTGATGGAGTAAACTAATGTGATATTCTGAAGAAATTCTATATGGTTCAGACTCTGCAGATTATATTATGACAGAGGATGAGAGAATTAACATGGTCTTGGGATGAAAGTATAAATGTAAGCTGCTGTACTCTCTACATGGAAAGTACTTCTGAGAAAGAATCAATTCGTCAGATCAATGTCCATATACCATGTCTCTGAAGCCATGTTAATTTGCTCTGGCAAAAATATCACTTCTGGCACAGTGGTTGTACCTCAGACCGCTACTTGGTTGCATCTCAGAGAGTACCCTGTCATCCTCCAGGATCTGACTGGTTTCTCTAGGAGCCAGACTGGTGAATCAAATGAGAACAGGCTGGAGATCACCACCTCTGTGTCTTTTTGGTCCTAAGGGTGGCTATAATCTCTGCCACTCCCCCTGAGGCATGATATCTTTGTTTTTTATGA